ATGAGGCTAAAGTCGAGTATCACGGCACAAATCCTAAATTCTATTCCCCACTCTCTAGGGTAGGTAGGTGGTAGGTGGAGGTACCTTTGGTAGTGTACATGGTGTAGATCACGCAAGCTTGGGGCATACGGACCTAATAGTTGCTGTAGCTGAGTACCACCTAACCTAGGTACCTATATCTGTACACTTGGCTAGATCAACTTCTATCTTATGTAGTATCAATGACTTTATAGACATGTGCTTCTCGGAAGCTAATTAAATAAAAATGATTAGCTAGCCTTTTGGCACCTCGGCTTTATAAGAAAATAAGAATTACTGTCCCATTCACTAAGTAGGTTTGCCGGGCTTGATGCTATATCTGTGATAGTGAATAAGGCATGGCAGACTTTAGCACAAACCCGATAATATTAATGGCCCTACGTCGCACCATTAAGGTGATATCTTGTTGACAGATTTCACCGCTCTTCCCACTATAGATAGACTAGCAATATTATCAATTGTAATGCGTAGGTATTACCTAGTCGTTAAAAGAGAATACATACATATTCTGTTGTTGATAGATGTGAATGGCATAATTTCACTTTTTGACTTATACGAATGGTGTTATCTTTGTAGTTATGTACACTACATAGTACTTCACTATCGTAAGCGATACATTCAATGTTGTATCAGTGCAGGGGCTATTAAAGCTATGATCACAGAAGGTGTTTCCCAAAGATTCCATAAGTATCCCCCGCAATCTCATGTACTGAAGTATATTTTCGATCCCGAGAGTCTAGCCAATCAGAGCGCGGAACAAGGCAACCGAAAAGGTACGTACTGTCTTTTGGCCACGTTTGCATGGAAGGTCCGCCGCCAATAATTAAAAGTTCACGAAGAGCTTCTGCAATTGCTTCTTCCTGAGTCCATCTTTTCTTTCTTCGTTGAGCTCTGGTAGTTCTTTCTCAACGTCACTCTCAATATATCTCCATCTCTGTGCTAGACAGAAGAGATCCAGAGAGACAAGCAAAGTAAAGTAAAGCAACCTAGCATTGCTAGCTTTTCATCATGAAGTTAAACTCTGCTATCGCCGCCGCCTTGCTGGCTACCGGCACTTATGCCGACGATGCCTCCAAGGTTGAAAACACCGAGTCGTCGACTTCTGTTGCCGCCGAAGTGCCAACCTTCACTGTGAGTTATCTCCTATAATTAATTGTTACCTCTTTCGCTCAATTGGCAGCTTCGTTATTCTTCCTGTGCAACTTAGCTAATACTTTTTACTTGCAGCCTACCACCATCAAAGCTCCCTTCCTAGAGCAGTTCACTGATGACTGGGAGTCACGGTGGAAGCCTTCCCACGCCAAGAAGGAGACCAAGGGTCAGGAAGAGGAATGGGCCTACGTCGGCGAGTGGGCAGTCGAAGAGCCTTACAAGTATAAGGGCATCGAGGGTGACAAGGGTCTTGTTGTCAAGAACGTCGCCGCACACCACGCCATCTCCGCCAAGTTCCCTAAGAAGATCGACCCCAAGGGCAAGGAATTGGTTGTCCAATATGAGGTCAAGCTCCAGAGTAAGTTAATTCATCTCAACGAAGTTTACAAGTATCAGCTTTCTAACTTTGTGGCTTCCAGAGGGTCTTGAATGCGGTGGCGCCTACCTGAAACTTCTCCGAGACACCAAGTCTCTCCACCAGGACGAGTTCAGCAACACCACGCCGTACGTTATCATGTTCGGTCCTGACAAGTGCGGTGCCACCAACAAGGTCCACTTCATCTTCAACCACAAGAACCCTAAGACTGGCGAGTATGAGGAGAAGCACCTGTCTGCTGCCCCTCCGGCTACCATCCAGAAGACTACCGAGCTCTACACTCTAGTCGTACGCCCCAACAACACCTTCACTGTTAAGCGGGGTGGTGACATTGTCCGAGATGGTAGTCTCTTTGAGCAGTTCTCTCCTGCCATTAACCCCGAGAAGGAGATTGACGACCCCAATGACTCGAAGCCCGAGGATTGGGTTGATGAGGCCCGTATTCCCGACCCTGATGCCAAGAAGCCTGAGGACTGGGACGAGGATGCGCCGTTCGAGATCGTCGACGAGGAGGCTACCAAACCTGAAGACTGGCTTGAGGATGAGCCCTTGACTGTTCCTGACCCCGAGGCCCAGAAGCCTGAGGACTGGGATGACGAGGAGGATGGTGATTGGATCCCTCCTACTGTTCCTAACCCCAAGTGCGCCGACGCCTCTGGATGTGGCCCCTGGACCAAGCCCTTGAAGAAGAACCCTAACTACAAGGGCAAGTGGACTGCGCCGTACATCGACAACCCTGCCTACAAGGGCGTCTGGGCTCCTCGCAAGATCAAGAACCCCAACTACTTCGAGGACAAGAACCCCGCTAACTTTGAACCTATTGGCGCTGTAAGTGATACTGAAATCCTTTGTCGTATGGTAATATATCTAACTCATTGTCGTAGGTTGGTTTCGAACTCTGGACCATGCAGAACGACATCCTCTTTGACAACATCTACATTGGTCACTCCGAGGCTGATGCCGACAAGTTTGCTCAGGAGACTTTCTTCAAGAAGGTTGTTGTTGAGAAGGCTCTCGAGGAGGCTGAGAAGCCCAAGGCTGACGACTCACCCAAGTCTCCCTCGGATCTTAAGTTCTTAGATGACCCCGTCCTTTACGTCAAGGAGAAGCTCGACCTATTCACGACCATTGCCGCAAATGACCCTATCCAGGCTATCAAGTTCGTGCCTGAGGTTCCTGGTGCCATTGTTTCTATTCTTGCTCTCGTTGGTACCCTTGTCGGCGTCCTCTTCCTTGGAGGTAGCGCACCGGAGCCTGTTAAGAAGGCTGCCGCAGACGCTAAGGAGAAGGCCAAGGATGCTAAGGACAAGACGGCCGAAGCTGTTGCGACAGGTGCTGAGAACGTCAAGGCCGAGGTCAACAAGCGTACCACACGACAACAGTCGTAGGGTGCGATTATGATGAGAAGATGAAGGGGCAACATGGAGAAAAAACAGGCAACCCATTGTAGCGTACTAAGGACAGTTAAGGGGATATGGTGCGATAATAAGGGCACGCCTTTGGGACTTCAACTTTACTTTGCATGGCGCCGGTGTATTTTACCTACCCTACCCAATGAACTGAGTTAACTGAATTATTGTTTTGATGCAATCTATCTAACTGCATGTTGTGTATCATGTCACACTAGGCGTTGTTGGAGGTTGTCACAATGCATCCAATAAGAGTCATAAATTTTGCCATTTTTTTATTATATTGTTCCTATTTTCTAACAAGCAATACAACCCAAAATCGAAACGCGAGTAGGGGAGTAGTTAATGTGATGTTTCTCAGCGGGGATTGAAAAGCTATCATCAAGCAATAAAAGCCATAAAGACAAAGCTTTTATTAAGAGATGAAGCAAAAAGGGGCTGAAAGGAAAAGTAAAACACCAACCAAGGGGACGTCCTACCTAACTCCTAGGTCCTAGCCTTGCTTGCATGAGTAACCCTGTTAACGTAGTGTTTAGCTAACCCATTGCTGACCAAAATACTTACTAGTATTGGACACTTGTCCAACACATTAAACCGTGAGTAGTCCTAGAAAACTACCTAATAACCACGTTTAGTGGAGGTATGTAGGGCGGGTAGGGTTAAATAGGCATGCTTTCTTCTAGAGGCCGGAAGATATCGCTATAGTCAGATTTATCGCAGACCGAGGCGTCGTCGTCGTTCAACCCAGGACTTACTTCCTTGACTTCCTTGACTTCCTCGCGTAGGGCGCTGCGGTACTTTCTGAGGGGAGATGGGGCTGGGCGCGGCTTTAGGAACCAGTGAGGGGGGCTAGGGAGCGTGAATTTGGGCATGGGGTCCTCTGGGGGGAGAGCGTTGGAAAGTATGGCGGCCATAGGGGGTGTGGACAGATCGACTACGTTGCCTTGGGCCAGAGCTTCGCTCTCGTCGGCGTGGATGGGCACGGCGACGTTCTCGTTCTTCTTGATGTGAGCGACTGTCTTGCCGGTCTTGGGACAGCACGTGGGGTACACGTTGAAGGTCTGGGCGCGCTTGAGGCCCATGGACGCGAGGATCGCGTTTTGGTCTAGACTGTCCCGGCGGTCACACCAGAGGAAGTTCGGTCCGACGTTTGGAGCCTTCGCCCGGCACTGCTCGTACTCCTGGCGAAGCTCCTCGTCGGTTATGGCGAACCAGGGCTTCTTCTTCTTCTGGGTGGGAGAAGGGGGCTTGACGGGTGCGGTGTTGGGTCTGCGTGCTTGAAACTCCTCGCGGAGGACACTTGTCATGGAGTTTGCGTGTTCGTCGTCTGCGTCGTAGGCGTCAGGTAGATTCTCACGGAACTTTCCATGATGCTTGGGGTGTGCCGTCCAGCAGCGTCTTGTTTGCGGTCTACCGGGACTGTATTCTAGCTCTGTAGGCGGAATTGCCCCCGGGACTTCCTCTTGAGATGCTGCGAACCTGTTCAACGATGTCGACGAAAAGGTCCGCTTAATCTTTTTGGCGACACTGGATGCGCTGAAACGACCCATTTTGCTTAAAAGCTTGTCTGATTGATTAATTAGTTGACTAATTAAGCGTACACTTTTTTGACTACAAAGTGAGGGTCTTGTGATCGGAGAAATGGCTTGCGGGATAATGAATAAATAGCTCCCAAGACTTCTGAACAATGTTATTCATTGTCCGTATAGCCCGTATAATGTCATTATGGACAGACAATGGGATGGTTATTATATAGAGAGAATGTTCCTGCCAGCGTCCTCTGAGGAGGAAACATAAATCTGTTCCTGCTCTATAGCTTTGTCTCGCATTGCCCCTATTCATCTAGTAGATTGTATAGTGGACGTCCACTAAGACAACGTAGACAGACAATGGGCTTTGTTGCGGCCAAGAAACCCTCTATTCTGTCCCTCAACGAGTAGGTTCTCGAAGAACCATTGTGAACAAGTCGTATTTAAACCAAACACGGACCAGAAAAATCATATGACAGATTAATACGATTCGCGATGTGCCAAATCTGGAGTCAGGAGTACTCCGAATGCCACCACGTCTCTAGGAATCTAATCCATTGTCCTACATACTACAAGCAACAGAGCGAGGCAAACGGTCTCCTTGGGCGCCTTTTCAACGGCAGTGTTAAGAGAAAGAAAGACTGTGGACGTGTCATCCCTCACTATGGAGACCCGGCACCCTTTTGTCCAGCTTGCTCGGTCAAGAATGACCAGCTATGGGGTAATCCGGTTGGCGATGGGGCCTTGAGGGTCCGTCACCCGCATATGAGGGATGAGTATCAACACCGCTCCAGAGAGCATCGTGAAAGAAGCGAGAATTCAGCCGAAAGGTCCTGTAGAAGATCAGACAGGCATGGGCAGCAAGGCGTATGGATACCGGGGTTGTACTACGAGCCGGAGAATCTCGCACAGAGAGACCCCTACATCCGGTCCGCGGGAAAAGCGCGGCCGGTTAGTCCAGTACAACCACCACCTAGGCCACCTAGGCCACCTGTCGCCACGCAAAAACCGCCCCATAGACCCGAGCAGAAACGGGATAAGTCAGAAGCACATCCGCGAAGTTCAACAAAAAACCGTGATGAACATAGACATCAAGCATACGCCAGCAAGCAATCCCACCATAGAACCGAGAGAAAGGGGGATAACCCGGTAAAAAGCAACGAGCATAGACTCCATGCACCCGCCAAAGAAACCTCTAGCTCTAACATCCCCCCCCGCTCCAAGAAACCAGTCGAGCCGGCACCGAAGCGTGACCGTCAGCGCCGCGAAACAGACGACAGGGACAGGGACAGGGACAAATCTGTCAGAAGTAGGAGATCCTCTAGAATACCTACCCCTGTGCGTTCCCCCCCGACACCACCCCCCAAAGACCCCCCCAAAGACCCAGGGCGCAAATGGCCGCCGCCCATCCGGCACTACATAGACCCGATACCGAAGCCGCCGAAGCCGCCGCCCGCACCACCGACGGAGAAACATCCGCGACTGCGGCGCAAATCCGGACAAGTCCGCCACATCCCGCCGTCGCCGTCGCCGCCATCACCGCCTCCGCTCAAACCGCTTCCCGCGCCGCTGCCCGAGTACCAAGTATACCTGAACGCGCAGCGCTTCGCCAACGACTACCACCCCCCGGCCTCCCCCGCCATCGAGAAGAGCATCGAACCGCCTATGTTCCGGCCCCCTCTGCGTCCTCCCCCGCAGCGCAGCAAAGGGTACCGCCTAATCACCGGGACCGGGCACACGAGCGGTTTCCACTTGCGCCCGACGCTGCGCAAGGTTGGGCCGCCGCGCTTCTCCGACGCTTCGTCCGACGAGAGCTTCGTGTGTCGGGACGCGCGGATGCTGACGGCGAACGCGGGGCGCGCTTCCGGACGATGCTCACCGGACGGACATGGATAAATCCGGCATCGCTATTGTTGTTACTACCTATTTATAACCGTAACAATAACAGTAACAGAGTTAGTAAGTTACATACCCCTGAAATTTTTGCTGTCTAGAAAGAATTTTAGGTACGTATACGTATACGTAGGTATACATCGATATATATACCTACCTAGGTATATAGATATATATAGATACACACGTGTGATGTATCGACACCATTTCGATTCGTTTATATACGTTGTATAGGGACGGTTGGGCGGGTTTTCTGCAAAGTTTAGTTAAACTAATAAAAGGAGTTTTAGAGGATCAGAGCTGTTTTTGTTTTTGTTTTTGTGGGATACGTAGGTATTATTATTCTATATGTTTTGGTATTATTATTAATGTTGATGCTGCTGACGATGATGATAATTCTCGTGTAATTTTCTATATGTCGAAAATGATATGCCGGGAGCGACTATACGTTGAGAAGGTCCCCCATGCCTGTGCGGACTTTATATACATCCATGTGCAGGAGTAAAGAGTACTAACTAATTAAAGGGGTTTGGCTTGAGTCTTGCCGCGCAAACTCCCATCGCTATCGCAATGTGTCAGTGTTGTTCCTCGATCGGCTTCTACCGTAAGCCGTCGCCCTGTAGTTCGCCGAATATCTCTTCTAGGTAACATCCCAACCTAGGAGTCCTCATTATAGGCGACATCTCATATTGGATGTGCAAAATGGCGGTATCGGACACGCCTACTGTCCTTCCTTCTCATATAGCCCTCAGAGCTATCACGACCATGAATTTTTGCCTCATGCTATTACTGTCCTCGCGCTCATTGGGCCTTTCCATTCTTCGCCGCACCAGCCTTTCGTTCCCTAAACTTGGCGATTTCCACTTCAACAGCTTTCGAAACGCGGCTTTGTAGTTCCCGTCTGTAGCCGAACTTGAACAGGAACTCGAGCCAGACGAAAAGGGGCGCCAGAAAGACGGCCTGGGTCAGGTTGTCTAGTAGCGCAGGCGCTCGGCCCTCAAACGCGCCGTGCCCGACGAATTGGAGTAGCCAACATACTATATGTACCGTAAGCGCGACCTGGTTCGTTAAGGTCGGGTTTTCGGCGACGGCGGTGTTCGTGACTGCGGCAGCCCCGAGGCATATAAACGCGAGAATAGTTCCGGCGACGGGTTCGAGAAGGACATAGAGACCGCCCCACGTAAAGGCTGCTAAGGTACCGAGATTAAGGTCGAGATGGGGTATCGTCAAGTATGTAGGTAAGGGGATGAGCGTCCCTGTATTTGCGGCCTGTTGCGAACGGTCATACTTGTTAATAATAATAATCATATAGGGGGTAGTATAAGTGATTGGTCGGTTCGACGTACCAAGGCGAAGCCGGAGAATAATATTAGAGGGACGCAAATCATGTGAATGGCAATGTTGACCGAGTTACGGTGGTAAGCGCCATACTGCAGAGGCGCGGTTAGTCTCAAGATTGATGTCTATGTCTATACCTATGTCTATATGTCTATAGGGGGTATATCGTATTAAACTTACAAAGGTCAGTTGTCTCTCGAGGTTGAGTGCCATGATGACAGCTAAACGAAGGTAGGGGTGGTGATGGCTTGGCTTAGCTTAAGTCGCGTACCTCGGAAGGTCATGTAGGTAGGAGAACGGAATAATTCGAGGTCGAAGTCAAATATAAAAAGAAACCCCCGGGATGGAAATAATTAATCTTTTTAGTGATCGGCCATAGCGGAAGGTGAGGAGCAGTGGAAGTGGGGCATCATCATTCACGCATTGCATGTAGGTACCTTATTATGTATGTATTCACGTAGTGTATTAGGTATTTATATATGTATTTTCTTCAAACGGGAATCGTACGAAGTAAGCCTTCCCGTCAGAGCTTCTTCCATGTAGGAAGGCTAAGCACATTGCAAACACACTTCAATTGGGCCAAGTAATAGTACCTTATGTACCTAGGTAGGCTTGCTAAATGGAGGTAGGACAGCTTAGGTACGGGATAAGGAGACGGGAATGAGTAATAAGTGACGACGTTGTGCATCTATAATAGCTTCGGTGTCGTTGTACCGAACTGAAACCGAGGTTTTCCCTGCGAGGCTGTACATACCTACATAGTATCTACATAACTACCCCTAAAGAATTACCTAAGTTAAGCATTTAACGGTTTAGGTACCTACAATAGGTACAGGCCAATGCACAGGTACATCGATAATAGCTATATAAGTGGAGCACCCTGCCGTCTTCTCCCCCCAGGTTGCACTAAGGCCAATAAGGTCCAGGGTTGCTTGAAAGTTGAAAGTTCCTAGACCAGACGCGACTCGTTCCTTTCATCATCCAGACTTTCTTGAGGCTACACCAAATTTTCTTTCAGCCCTGTTGTCGCATTCATCATCGCACCATAAGCGCATAGCTTTACATTGTCTTATTATATTTCTTGATGATTTTATGATACCCCTAGGTAGATTGCCGCTTTTTGAGGCTCGAGGAGGCTCAAGGTTTGCACCGCCTCAGCCTACCTTTTAGCATCCCATCCATCACATCGACTCATCGACTCATCGACTCATCCCGTCTCCCGTCTCCCGCGAGTCCTCGTCACTACACCTTCTTGCTTGGCCTTCAATCACCTACCTCTGCCTTGGCCTAGGCCCTGCCAGAGATCACCCTTTACGTATCGCGATAGCTCATCGTAGTGGCCTTCCACTTCAACCCATCAATCCCGCGAATAATCTTACCGTAGCAGCGCCATCTCGATATCTCGATATCTCCTACAACCTCCCTCTTACCAATTAGATCATCCAGCGCGAGCACATAGACGCGCCAAAATGTTCTTCCTCTACAACCTCGAGCGAAGGGTTACCCTTCACCCTTCGTACTTCGGCAAGAACATGCACGAACTGGTCACGGGCAAGCTTCTTAAGGATGTTGAAGGCACGTGTACCGGAAGCTACTATATCATTTCCATCATGGATACCTTCGATATATCCGAAGGTCGTATCCTTCCTGGAAGCGGCCTCGCTGAGTTCACCGTCGGCTATCGTGCTGTGGTCTGGCGCCCCTTCAAGGGCGAAACGGTAGGTTCTCTAGGCTGAGCTTTGACACTACGAACTTTTGCTAAGTAAGTAAGATGGACGCCATAGTAGTCTCCGTCAACCAGCACGGCTTCTTCGCCGAGGCAGGACCGCTTCGAATCTTCGTGTCCACCCACGTAAGTAGTCCCCTTGACATCGGCGCGTATGACGTTAGTTGACAGCCCCTGTCAAGTTGATCCCGCAAGAAGTCAGATGGGACCCGAACGCCACACCACCTCAATTTACTAACAACGAGGACACTACGATCGAAGTTAACACCCAGGTTCGTGTTAAGATTGTGGGCACGCGAGCCGAAGTCGGTGAGCTATGGGCAATTGGAAGTATCAAGGAAGACTATCTCGGGTATTTATCACCTCCTTTCGTGTCTTGAAGCATATACTAATGGCCCATAGAACGCTACAAAACTAGATAGATCTGGCGCGTTCGGACTTCAGGCCTCCTCGTCCTGTGCTTGGTGCCGCCCTTGTGTGGCAGTAGATGTGTGAATCTACAGGATCGCGCAATCCATAGGATATAGGCCTTGGTACCTTAAGAGCTATTGATATGAACAATAGTAGTACTACATAGGCATCCTTATGCAAGGTAAAGTCACAGAAACCCAAGTCTTGCGAATTTCGGATATGCTAGGCGACTTAGGTAGTCACCTAAATAGCATCTGACTTTCGGTTTTTGCTATGATATACGATACCTAAGCTTATCCCACGGGCCATAGCGTCTACGCCTCAAAGTAAAACATTCTGCTGGGAAAGACTAAGCAGAGCCTCAAACCCTATTAATATATAATCCCGGGGATATGACTGTCTACCATAAACACCAGATACGAATGTTCGACGTTTTGGTTGGAAGCAATTAGCTAGCCCATTAGCCTTAGATTATGATCGATATAATAAATGGTCATCATCTTGGAATATATTCTCTTAAATGGCATATTACTACCTTTATTTCTACTATTTTCAGTGCTGGTATATGAAGACTGGATACTGATTAGAAAGGAGAGAATAGCTCGTGCGGCATTGATTATACATTATACCCAGGTATTATTCGTAATTCCAAAAGCTAATTGCAAGACCCTTTCGTGGAAACTTAATAAATGGCGCTGAGCGTAGCTGTATGCCCGTTGGGGGTGCGGGCTGTCTGCTTAGTCTGGATGCATTTCTATCGCTTTGGACTTGGTGAGAGCCAACAAGTAGTATAAAAATGGAATGCCAGTGTTGAATGAATGGCTCTGTCAAGAACAAAACTTTGTGGAAAGTTTGACAGTGCTATGGGCTAGAAGTCGTAGATGACGAATGGGCGCGGCCTATAGAGCGATAGAAATCCCTACCCCCTTATTTCTCTATAGGTGACTGGTCTCGTGAAGTGAGAAAAAGAAGGTTACAAACTCTCGTATACTGTTTTCTGCCTCTCATCATTCGCTAGCTAACCTTACAGCACTGTGACAGAACTCTAATAAGTGCCTTTGCGTCTGTCATCTCATTTCAAGACGATTACGACGAAGCCAATGCTCCTGTTCAAAGTTTTCGTATTTTATTTATATATCATGGGGATAGTCCAAGCGACAAAGTCGGCGCCTAGTTTGATTTCTGTTTACGAAGCTATATATATCTGCCATGCCGTTGTAAACAGTTCGTTCCTATTCTTCAACTTTTTCTCCCTCTTTACCCAGAACAATCGTCGCGCAGCATAGCTCGGCATATCGAAACCATTACTTTGTAACGGCTTGTTTTCTACTCAGAATATCTGTTCGAAATTGTCTATAACATCTCGCATTACTGCACTTCACTTACATCACATCATCCCTTTATATCACCCTTCACTACCGCTGTATCTAACGGCTATATCGAATCCTTCCTCATGGATCCCTTTTCAATTCTCCCTGGGAGTGTCCGCCCCGGGTGGGGTTCAGACCCGTTGCCATTCTCGTCCTCATCGTCGTTCGAGAAGGTTTACAACCGTGGACGTCGTCCATTCATGTCTACCACTGCCGCTAGGTACATGGACAGAAACCTCATCCGCATGCTGAACCCCTATCCTAGACGCCCTTCAAACCGGCGTACGATGCCCTATCTCATGACCCAAGGCGTGAACTTGTCCCCCGAACGGTGGGACTTCATCATTGACACCATTCGGAACACACCTGAACTGGATCCTGATAGAATGGAAGGCTTAGAATTCACCGGACTCGTGGACGGTTTGGCAATTAACGACAAAATTGACGCTGATGGCGACATTATCATGACCGATTCCACCCCTATTTCTATCAACACTTTCGTAGATGATGACACGTCTATGCACATCGACACACCTATGGATATCGATACACCTGTCACCCTTCCCCCTTGGTCTAAGGACATCAACTCCATCACTGTCGCCACGGCCAGCCGTCCTTTCCCCCCCACGGACATCGCGATGCCTGGTGATCACATACTTGAGAACGCAAACGAATACACCACACCAATTAAAGCACCCCAACAAAAGCAACTTGTGTTTGGCTTAGAGCAACTATCGCTCGTAGGTCCCCACACAAGACGCAAACTCGAAAACGACGCAGATTCCCCCGAGGAAGCTCAGCAACCACAACGCAAGATCAAGAAAGTGACAAAGATACCGTCGCTCGAACGCATGAAACTCTTGTCGGTCCCCAAGGCCAATGGCCGATCACCACGGCCCGTGGGCCCGCGATACAGCCGGGCGGCCGTCTCTAGTACACCATCGCCTGAGCCTATCCCAATTATTAAGGTTACGGATCCCGACGACAATTTTACATATCCGTTTTAAGTCCGAGGCAGACTAGAGGCTTCTATCTTCGATTTATCGGCTTGGTGGGATATCTTAGAGGACATCAAGGTGCTGTTGATTTGGATATAAGGACTAGGGCATGGAAGCCCGAATATGTTGACTGGATTATGATGGTTGGAACACGAAGCGAAGATGAATGCATTTGTTAGAACTTGGAAATGGTGGAACTTACATGGAATGCATTATAAGCCGCGGGGCTTCACTGGATTGTATAGGTTGGTTGGTTGGAGTCTGGGAGTCTTTGGTGGAATATATTCTAAGCCTCGGGGCTTCACTGGGCTTTGTGCCCCTATTGGGAAGATATTGGTATACAAAAACGGATATTTGAGAAGATTGGACTGGATCTCTATTGGAGTGCCGGTTTATTGGAAGGAATTGTAAGCCTCGAGGCTTTATTGTGCTATCTGGTCGGCATGTGGCCATGTTTGGGAGGGTTGGACAGGGTGCTTTGAAGGAATTTTGTTTTGGTGGAATAGATCTTGAGCCTCGAGGCCGAAGAAGATCATATGGTTTCTGTCAAGAGGACATCAGCGGTTTGGATTTCAACGAACATTGAGGGAGTTTGACGGGAACTTCAAAAGTCTCTCGTGGGATGAATTATAAGCATCAAGGCTTTAGCGGATCACCAGCATTCGATTGCGGATACATCGGCGTTTTGAAATGAATATTAAGGGATTTACGGGCGCTTCTTGTTTGTGTTGCTCTAGTATGTGCCATAAGTGAAGTCGTAATGTTTGATCTTGCAAGTTGTATGCCTCTTATACTATTGTCGAGCTTCCATCGCACTAGGATCTATAACTCCCCAACCATAGTAGACGATATCGTAATCAATATGAATATCGGGTGACAGGGAAAACATCAGTATCGCCTACTAGTCGATGTCGGCATCGCGGTTCGTTCAAGCCAGGTGTTACATAGGGGATACTTTACTACGAGGAAATGCAAGTGGAATATATTCACATTTTTGAAACTATCATGTACCTAGGTAGTAGTTAGAAGTACGCTAAAAGTCATCTATGTTGGTTGGTTAGGTATATCTAACGCTGAGGAAAGGAAGAAGGAGTAGTGGCTAGCTGTCGCAGGCTCCTCCTCTGCTAGTGTTAGGGGGGTGTGCGATACGCAGAGCCACACCCAACCTACCCCTATCCGATAAATAGAAGGAGCACACTATGGTATATGCTGCAGATTTATCTCAATGGTACCTTGCGTTTCCGTTATCGACTAAATTAATCTATTACCAACCAACACAGATCGCTTTCTCATGCCATCGACATACAACACTAGCCGACACATGAACAAAATATAAGCGCTACGGAGAGTGTATCCCTAAATAGGAGAGCACCCATAAACGAGAACGGTTAGAATATCATCACGAGAAACACCCGGGCAGATACCTGCTTTCGAATTCCGGACGTGGTGAGTGACGGATGACAGGTCAAATTTCGTATACATGCTCCCTCACCTATAATGGTATCCTAACCATCCCTATTACCGCCTCTAGGTGAGCCCATATACGGTTCACCTTCTATTCAAAGAGGGGGTAATCCTTAGTTCTTCAGGGTGCCACTATTTCGATACTATACCGTTCTGGATCAGGATTTGATAGTTTAAATAGACTATTTAGGAGGTGACTACGATGGCCGGGCAGAGCATTGCCCAGAGAGCCAACGTCCCCTAAGAGTAGTAGTTATAAACGCATAATTTTCTTGGTGATGTTACGAACTAAGTTTCCTTTCCTCCATCATAGATAACAGCACTCGTCTCCCGGATCCTATTGCTTTCAGCCTCAGGAGTGAGATAGGAGATAATCTGCCGAAGCTCGCTCTTAGACTCATAAGGACTTCTCCAGCATCCTTGTCACTATCCTGCTGACGAGGTTGGAGGTGTGCTTGGTTATGGAGAAGGGCGAGAGCTAGGATCTCGATGCAAACGCCGCCGGCAGGAAAAGCAGGGAACGCTCCCACGTCCCAATCAAATACAGACACATTTTGAGTAGCACCACCAGAGTTATCACACCGAAGCCATCTATCACCTTGCAATGAGCTATATCTCTTAGCCCAAACTTACGATAGGATCGCTCTTGTCCCATGATTAATCAGGGTGGGTCTTTTGATGCTATACTGTGCTATTCCGTCGACTTGTTTCTCAGGAGGACAAGGCTTGTCACAGGCAGCTGGTCACAGGTACCTTCCAGTCGGAACAGAGTCAGACTGCTACACCCTCAGCCGGAAGACGGAGCAGATACACACACCTGCTTTAGACACACTCACATGTTCTCTTCATTGCCCCCGACAAGACACTAATGCAGCACGCATGCATAACGAAATGAAGTCAACTATGCACTAGATTATTGATGTCACCATTAGTTGGTCTACACGGCTCTTGCTTGTTGGTAGTTGGAGTTGCAACGGGAAAAACTAAGAGGTTAAGCTAAGAGGCTCCTTTCCTCTCGTATAAGAGACAGTATAGCCCGATACGTTGGCGTGATGTTTCCCCATAATTACTATACCAGAGTATCGGGACGAGTATAAGATTGAACCCGGAAAGGCCTTGAAATGCTGAGCAGAAAAGCGGCCCGCACCGCCCGAGGCCGTGACTCGACGCCAAGCACTCGTACGGATCGATCTGTTAGAGCCTCATATGAAATACTTTTTCTCGCAAAGATCCAGTCCATGAGAGGTCGAACCAAGCAATAGGTAATAATGGTGCTTAACTCCATTGTGACACAACATCTCCTGGAACCGAAACCGATGGATTGGGTAGAATGACCCGAGCTGCTTAGAAAAGGGGGGGCTTATGACGAATCCACTTCGCATTTACCCAACCCTGTGACGAAGAGGGTCTTGTATATAATTACCCCATAACGATGGGAGATTCGAATCCTACCGTACAGTAACACGTCTACGGGGTTGTATTTTTGCAGAAGCTACTGAACCCGCCAGAACGGAACCCCATGTATTCAAAACAAAGACTGACCAATGAGATCGTATAGCTAACATTCATTAGCGAATCAGCTTTCATTCCGTGCTCGGCTACGTATGCAACCGACCATCTGCTGGCAGGGGCTCCACCGGCGAATCCTATGGGAGAGTATACTCGAATCCTAGATTCGCGGCCCGCGCGCCATTCCCAAAGCCGACCTCCCGTTCCCTATCCGCCGTAGTCTGGCCAAGTTGTGCTTGTTGGGCTATATTGTGATAGCGGCTCTGCTCCCCAGAGGGCCCATACCAGCGGTGTTCTCTGCAACCTTTTCCGGGCTAACCTCGCTTCACGAGAAGTTTGATCTAACCCCCTAGTAAATTCTTGCATATCCGCCCAGACTTTCTACTTCGCCAAAGCATGCCTAGGGCGCTATAACCCACGATGAGAGCTTATGAAGAACCCCGCACGGGATTTGCTCATCTCGTTGTCTACTCTAATGTTACAGTATATGGCTTGAGACGAGCGGATACATCTATACGGCTCTTAGCCGTGCCACTATCAAACATTCCTGCATACTGCATATCCATGTCGCAATACTGCTGTTCGACAGAGCCGCCAACATGTAGTATTGATCGGCTTAGATCATGGCAACAACGCGGCCATAGCCTAACTACTAATGCAAAGCTACGAGGTAGCCGTGTAGAATCGCCGAATGTATATTTTTCTGGGTAATGAGGCGTCTACATAAGGTGTTTAAGCGCTGTAATGAAGAAACATACCCCTGTTGCTCGCATAATATAGTATTAGTACTAGATATGGCATATACCTTGTCATTTGCTAATACTTTCTCCTAGCTCAATAGACTATGAAGTAATTCTGGGGGGGGGGTATTGCCAGCTCAGCGCTAGGGTATCTCTTAGTCTAGACCAAGAACCGCTCGAACCAACGAGGAAGAAATTCCTACGTATGAGGCCTTTTCATATCAGCCCTCAAACTTGGCGCTGCGTAAACCTATCAGCTGAACTCCACCCAGCAAAGATAGAAGGCATCGTTACCGCGTAGACGGAACCCAATCAGCAGCTAAGAGTGATAGCATAGGCTCCCCTATAGTGACAAGGAGTACCACCGTCAGTCTACAGCGGCAAGGCCATAACCGTGCATCGCATATCTCCTCTCGGATGTAACTAAGCTACATGAGGAAGCCGGTTACAGTGCATAGGCATGCAAATTACGGAACAGCATTCACTTTCACCTGACTATTCTGCGGGCAGGTCTTCAGGGATCATACAGGAAGCTCCCTCTAGAGAGCTGGGAACGGCAATGGCAACTAACAGTAACATTGGGCGGCTATGGCACAAAAGGGTAACAAAACTGATAATGATACGTAGGAGTAGGTCGGAGAGTTGTCTATGACTCTCTTTAAGTGAGGCAATTAGACGCACATTCTTTCACTACCAAAATCTCTTGGACCGGTAAAGCAATGCCGGAGTTGGAGTATCCAAGTTGAATCATGATCAGTTGGTATAGTCCATAGTGGATACCTGCTTAAGGTAGCATGAGGAAAATCCCACGGCCATGGATAGCTAACATAGTCCAACCCGATGAAGAATTATGTTAATTTAGCATTAATAAGGAGGAGGCTAGTTAACAGTGCTCCTGAGCTAGGCTTAAAATATGCCCAACTAGTAACGCCATAATTTAGTCACTCGGGATGAGGCTCAAGATCAAAAGCAGTAACCTTTACGGCCTCTACGGGGACCATGTCAACCGGTGGTAGCATGCCACTTAGTGTAGTTCATCTACATTATTCTCCCCACCCCCCCCCGATCCAAAGGATGGCATTAATACCCATGTCGAGCCATACTACCCGAGACTCCGGTCATGAGCATGGCCCTCTCCCTCTTCGACGGATTGTCGTTGCATATGCTATCTACTACCGAGTACATACAACCTAAGATATGTGCGTAATGTATACCACACGATGCCGAAAGATCCCCTTTACCGGATACGCCAAATATAAACAGGCTCTTACTAATGCAATTCCCGCTAGCTACAGCCATATATCATAGTGGTCTTGGTACCCACTAAGAGGTATCATCAGCTATCGTGTTATTAATGGGTACCATGAGGGTTCTGCATATTATATAGTTATGGGTTTAAAGTTGACGAATAGGGGTCACATCACAAACCCAGTCCTCTGGACCGGGTCACAGATACGGAGTAAACTGCTCTGCTATAGTCCCAATCTATCCTCTCTTACATTATCGCTGGCGACAATCTCGATCTAGACAGCTGCCGGATTCTAGGATATGTAACCCATTCGCCGACTACAGTGTGGACGCTGGCGTTAGTCGCGGACCCGACCCAGAAGAACAGGATGGTAACATGGTGTTGTATCAAGAAAGCTGACGACAGCGATTGATCCTTATAGTCTATGATGTTGATACTCTAGAAGTGATTTGTACTGCTATATAAGGATGACGCTTCCAGTGTCTTGATATATCTTTGTTAAGATACTTCTAGTACATCATTAAGTCATAGAAGCACATATCCAAATTATATATGAATATCTACTTCCCACATTGTCAATTAGCTCGCAGCGTAACATCCTCGAACGAAGAATGTCTCTCTGTATTCGTCTCGGGCCCCGAGTCCTCCTTCGTGGTAAAGGGGTTTTGAGGTGTTTTAGTGTACCACAGACTTCATCCTACTTAGCAAGAAAAATACCCACCTTCCATCCTCGACGTTCGTTCTCATCAGAAGTCACCCGTGAACTTTCTCTACCACCCGTATCACAATTAGCGACCCTCTCCGAACCAGAAGACGAGTTCTGGCGCGCTATTTCATTATGGAAGGATGTGCCTAGAGAAGATTTTCTGTCTTGGAAATGGGGTGTCAAAGTAGGCTCAACCTCCTTTTCTTTCTTTTCTTTTTTACACTCGCTAAACGCTTTAGAATGTCGTCGAGGCCAAGCTAGGGCGCGATCGTAAGCTATTAGCCGATAATATGCTGGACTTTCTCGACAATGTCCTTCCAGCCGAGATGCCTCGTCACCACCGTATAGGGGGTATGCAGAGTCGAGAAGAGCTTATGGGGGATGTTGTAAGTGGGATGAGGGAGTCTACCATGTCTGTTAGGGTCATGTAAGTACCCCTGATAAATAAATAAGGAAGACAAAAACATAAAAGAGGCTATCGGCCGGTATGACTATTTCAGCTCTAACTTGGAACAGGCCGTACGTCTTAAGTAGAATCAACTGGAAGGATCCGGCGAACGACCCAATCTTCCAGCAGTTCATCCCTTTGGGATCTATAATGATGAAAGACCATCCCGCACTCAGGCTTGACTCCTTAAACGAGCAGAAAGACTCGCCAGCCCCGGCCGTCGTACATCGCTATCCCGACAAGGCGCTACTACTCCGTATGATTCTACCCAAGCATATATTCTGACCACTGCTAACAGTCCCAGCAACCTCGGTCTGCCCGACATACTGTCTCTACTGCACCAGATCCTACGGCATCGGCGCCGACACCGAGCTAGTAACCAAGGAGTCCTTCCGGACGACACGCGACAGACTCACCAAAGCCTTTGACTACATCGAGAGCCAAGAAGGCCTCCACGACATCGTCGTCTCCGGCGGCGACGCCTTCTACTTAGCCCCGCACATCCTGGAGTGGATCGGCGACCGGCTCATCGGCATGAAGAACATCGAGCGGTTCCGCATCGCGTCGAAAGGTCTAGCCGTGTCGCCGCATAGGTTCCTCGATAGAGAGGATCCGTGGACGGATACCCTGATCCGCGTCTCGGATAAGGCGCGGCAGGCGGGAAAGCATATGGCGCTGCATACCCATTTTAACCATCCGAATGAGATTTCGTGGGTCACGGAACGGGCTAGTTTGAGGTTGATGCAGGCGGGTATGACGGTGAGGAATCAGACGGTGCTGCTTAGGGGGGTTAATGATAGTGTTGAGATTATGGAGACGCTTGTTAAGAGGTTGGCGAGGATGGGCATTCAGCCGGTGAGACCTCCCCCTTTTCCCAAGACAGCATAACATAACACAACTACCCACCTACCTCCCTACCTAAATCACTAACCTCGGGTCTGTTGGTCAAACAGTACTACGTCTACCAATGCGACATGGTCAAGAAAATCGAGCACCTGCGCACGCCGCTGCAGACGATCCTCGACATCGAGTCGGCGATCCAGGGCACGGTGGCCGGGTTCTACATCCCCAAGTTCGTCGTCGACTTGCCCGAGGGCGGTGGCAAGAGGCCTGCTGCGCTCCGCGAGTCGTATGATCGGACGACTGGGGTGTCGACGTTTACGCAGCCGTCGCTGACGCGGGGGGAGAAGGAGGGCAAGGTTTATAGGTATTATGATCCGTTGGATACGCTGGTGACCGCGTAGGTTGGGTTAGGTATCTGGTGAAGGTTGTGGGGTGTGGGATGTGGTTCTCTTGGATATATATATATATGTAAGGGATTGAGATTGGAGTGATGTGGTGTGGTAGGCTAGGCTAGATTGTTTCTTGGATATATTGAGGATGTGGAGTGTGTAATGGCTAGGTGTTTGATACTAAGGCAGAATGGCGACAACACCGGTATATATATATATCTACATAGTTCTAAACCATGGACTTTTTCTAACTCCATATCTCAAGGCTGCATGACATGATACGCTAATGCTTTGTGGGCGACTAGCTGTCTATGTAAGTAAGTAGTTGATTCCGTAGATGCCGCAATTCGAGCCACCTCTTATTATCTGCCTACCTTAGGTACCTACCTCTTACAAGATTTTCCTTCGTGGTCAGAGACGGCGAAATGCCGTACATCCCATGGCCCTGGCTCTATGAATGGTCTGCCTAAGTCTTGATCCATTCGGCTGAGGACGTAAGAGTTTGAGTGACATGAGTAAAGAAGGGTTGCCCTTGGATCATTACTACTTTCGTACGAAGTAGTTATTGAGGTCGGCGAGGCTGCGAGGCTATGCGGCCGAATACTGATGCATAGCATCCAGGCAGTGTTGCTTCATGAACGATAAAAGAACTCTAGATTCCAAGCGGCTACCAATGGTTATCCTTCGGAAAGAAAGGACTACCAACTGATTCCACGTATGTAGTATGTAAACTAGGATACGATAATTTCGACTAACGACGCGGCCGCGCCCCGAGGCTGACTCTATCAAGGCCAGCATGCCAGACCATGGAGAGCAGGTCGACATTATATTGGTCGCAAAGTCCTAAGAAAGCCTGTAATTTTAGATGATTATAATCTAGGAACATCGTCGTTTTAGGGGTCAATATAGATGGATATTCCTGATCGAGCTCATCGCTGAATAGCTTAAACCGAGGGCCATCATCACCGGATCCCGGCAGGCCATCCGTTCCCGCAGCCGGTAACAAACCGAGTTGACTGGGGAGTGTTGAGGAGGACATGTATCAGTAAATAAAACACCTAATCGAGGCTTTGGAATATATTCGGTTATCCTCTAGGGTAACCAAGTACGTAAGGTACATGGAGCTATCTACCATCTGTTAGAAGTCTTGTCAAATAAGGCCGGGAAGTGAGGGTTTTTGTGTTGGTTTCCAGGTTAGGAGTGTCTTTACTGCTTCGGTCAATTACTTAGATGCTGGCCAGCCTCACAGACTATTAACCCAGGTCATGCTGTCTCCGGAGTGTGCCAGCACGGAACGCATGGACACTAGTTGTAGTATTATGATCTCCTTCTTAGTAGGATCGTTAGTTTATTTAGTGTAATGGTCAAGCATCATCCTTATACATACCTAATACTTTAGGTAATAAGTCTGTTGTCTTAGCTTCCAAGCTCACCCCGGATTTCTCAGTCTTGTGTGTTCTTGCCATGCATATATATCAGGATAGTCTGGTCAATGCGTAGCTTAAAGAGGAAGAAGATGTGCGCTTCAGACGCGTGCGATAGCCTCGCAGTAGCGCATAGTCACGCATACAATAGCTTGAGCTTTAAGTTATCGCGAGAGTCGATCCCGTCAAAGCTCACCACCGATAGTCTTCCCCTCGCGGATAATGATGTGATGGCATGTTGCCGTGCGCCCTTACATCTGTACAACACGCCTCCATAGTTTTAGTTTCTGATTGAAGCCACTGTGCATAGCCACCGTGATCTGAGACTAAGAGCTCTTCTAGAAAGAATACGACCCTAGTCGTTTCTCAGAGCCAGGGCGGGTGCTCATTAAAAGCTAGCTAGCCAAGGCTGAAAGGACCATTCGGCGACTCGGCTGCCGTAGAGTAGTACAGTCTGTACAGAGCACCGTCTCATCGTTTCCAGGAGTCCGGCTACGCTTAGCAGGCTCAAGGTCGACGGTAAACGAAACTACATTTATGATGCAGGGGGCTTCGTTATGAAGGCCTCAAATCTGGGCCGCGAGATGGTTTAGTATTGATTATAGCCGCATAACTCTATATTATCACAGGGTCTTGCGCTCGGGGTCCGTGTGTGATTCAGAAACGTGCCATATATACATACTGACCGGAATATACCGACAATTGACAAGGCTCAAGAACAGAACTAACTTAGAACTACTAGTACATAGTCGTCTATATGAGTTGTGGTATGATGCCCCGCAAGGTGGACAGCTGACTAGTAGAATGATTGACCTTAGAGGTATATATTAGATATATATTAGAATAATTTAGTCTCTTCTGTAATAATATAAAGAGGGCATTTGCGTGTAGATAACCGCCATAGCATCAGTGATGGCGATGTGGATGAAACAGGCACGTACATATGTGGGCTGGTTGCGCTGCGGCAAATTTACACATCCTGACATTATTCCTTTAATATATCGTAATATTCAATATATCGTAATGCATAGTAGTTGAGTACTGATAGAAGCTGCGCGTGGTATCACGACAATATTAACGTCGTGCCTACGCATATTCGGCACTCAAAGAGGGATGTAGTACAAATGTAGAGTTTCTGATAAATTGAATGAATGCCGTTGATGGTGGAATGCACGTACATAATTACATAACTTATTGTTCCTATTGTGCTAGGTACCTAGGTATTAGCTTACGTCGGCGTATGTAGGAGGCGTAGGTACAAGCTGCAGGCCTGGAAGCACAGGCCCAGGGGCATAGGAGTCCGAAGGTCCAAGGATGGAGGTGGTAAACCACGTTTTTGATAGGTGGAACCCCACGAATTGTTCTTCTTTCTCCAGTATATTTCCTCATAGGGGATACGTCGTTCCTAGCTTAACCCTATTATGGACTAGACTCTCGTCCCCCATCAAGCCTTCCCGCCAATAATGATTCTTAGTCGCTAGGAAAGACCAAAGTCCTGACGAGGGCCTGACGAGGGCAAAAAAACGGTCAATATCCTAGTCAAGGTTTCCTACCTGTCAAGGTTACGGCTGGGATCCTGAAATTCCCAGCATTCGGGAACCGCACTGTTAGGCATTTATTCAAGAGCTTCATCCCGTGTGATACTGCTACCCATTCTATCCATTTGACGTAGTGCCTGTTCTCTCTCTTCTTCTGGTTCTCCGGGCAAATGCGCACTGAATCAACACTGGGTTCAATTTTATCACTTGGTATCTACGCAATTCGTATTATTCACTACATTACATTCAACTCCTTTCTCTAAACCTAATCTTCTTTTCCTGCTGCTTCCATCAAAGATTGTGTTTTTGAGGAGCAATTATGCCTTCGTGCATCTAAGTCTAAATCTCTCTCTCCCGACTCATATTAAACTTTAGATGATGGTTTCTGGCGTCCGAACCAATTAATCCGGCCCTACTACATTAACAATGCGGCGGCATTGCGCAAATAGCAAACTCGCAGGCGAAGGGAACTATCCAGACATTCAAGCGGCCCGCCCCAATACTATTGTTGACTTACGTAGTACGGTGGATTATCACAACAGCCTTCTCGATCAGGCCCGACAGCAACACGAACTGGCGCAACCTCCGAAGGCGCATTCTCACCGAGGTCACTCAGGCCCAAATCATCATTCGCTTAGTTCGCTCCGACAATGGCTAGGCACGACGGTCAACAGCAATAGTACGGTTAGGAAGAAGACTAATAGAAATGAGAGGGATCAGCTTAATTACGATATGACGCTACCGCCGCATCCACATCTTACGCGAAAGGAAATTGAGGAATTTGAGGCTCTTCCCATAGCCATCAGGAGAAAAGTAAGTTACAATATTTTTCATCTTATTTTATTTTACTTCTTTATGTATTCTCGATATATCTTTACTATGTTATCGATACTACCTTACGGTTGGTTGCACACGATCATGGAATGATAAAGCACCCAGGTGAGGGGAAGACAAAAAAAAAGGTACGAAAGGGAAAGAAAAAAGAAAAAAAGACGATCGCAAGTGTTTACACGTGTAAAACGCGACTGCATTCTAGACCACATACATACCTTTCGTCCTTGTCGTCCTTGCGGGACTGGAACGCCTTCGGCACTTTGTGGGGCTTCACATCTCTTATTTATTCCCTCTAGCTCAAGTCCTTTTCGGATTGGGTAGTCTATAAGACTAGAGTTGCAGAGACGCGCCGACGCAACTTTGCGTGGCAAGTGCTTCCTGCCAATTGGGATATTCGTATCGACGTTGGAAAGGGGGGTGCGAAGGAACGCTGGGAAACAACATTGAAGTCGCCAATGAAGTCACAGGCACAACTACCTTGCATATTACTGCATATTGCAACTGCAACTGCAACGCTCTGAACGCTTTAGGCCACTGTCAGTGCAAGCCTGCGTTCTTCATAGCACTTGTTGCATGCATGGGTGCTTCCTTCTATGCCAACTATGCCCGTTCCTGCAGCACGGCACACTTTCACCCCTTCCCTTTACATATTGCATAACATATTACCTTAATTCTGAATTCTGCCTTTTCTACCAGTCATCTTCAGGCCTTGAACGCTTTTACTAAATCTTTGCCCCCTCTTTTCTACAGTATTTCTCCACCTTGGAGCGTTTACGTCTTGCTCAGACTGTTGGTGTCTTAGACCCCTCAAGCCCACCCGACAAGGAACTCCGCCGACATCATCAGCGTCGTGGAGCATCGCTCAGCGCTATCGTTCCCGGTAGACCACTAGAGCGACCGACTACCTCTCCAACTTGTCAGGACAACGTATTCTCTGCCGATTGCGCGTTCCTGGCCAAGCTTCCCGCTAAGATTAGGGAGAAGCACCTGACTAGGGAGGAGCAAGTCCTTGTCGCTAGACAGTTAAGGCAGAGTGTCATCTTGGATGCTGCTGACGAGGCATTCTTCAAGGCCGGCCGTCTTGCGAACAGACGCCCTTCACCACCTCCAGTCTATCCACCAACTTTGTCTTCATCAGAGCGACCTAGTATGGAGTCTCTGCTAAGCGACAATGCTTCCGCTGGAAAGCGCGACTCGCTTTACGACAGCTTCCGATGGCTGGACGAAGAGGAGGATCTCAACCTACGACTTGCTCTCGACGACTATCATGTGAATTTGAGGGAGTCGGTGCCTATGGCTCCTAAGGATCCAAGGTCCCCTTCGTTCCGTCGACATATGTCCTTCTCCAAGGTCCCATTTGGTCGCACATCTATCTCAAGTAGACCAGGGACAAAGGATGCGCAACAACCACCGCCTTCTGCTAACTCGACATCTGCTACCTCGGTAGGCTTTCCGCAACCTGGACGACGGAAATCTAGGGCGCTGTCGCTTATCACTCCGAAACATGCTGCCTACGAATCGATATCCTCGATTGACCCCGGCGCTACTCATTATCAGGATCCCGAGGCGCGCTTGAAACTGCGAGTATACCTAGCTTCGCCGCAGAAGTTTGATGAAGCAATCGAGTTTGGTTTCCCTTCGAGTGATTCTTCGGCAATTCCGTATAGGGATTTGCCAAGCGCAAAGGGCCAATCGGATGGGATATTTTCTCCAGACTCGGAGAAGTTCAAGACGTTCCTGGAGGATGATAAATCATCTATTTACAGTGACGACGCATCGCTACCAGATCCCGAGTCGCCTAGAACCCCCGACACGCTAGACAAACACGACAAGTCGCTTCAGCGACCTCGTACCAATGACTATCCATCTAGACTTCCAGAAACCTATGCGCAAGTACCTGCAGCTTCCCGTGAGATGACGCTACGCATGACGCTTACGCGACCCGATCTACGGGCCTGCGAAGACAATTTGTACGGGTGGCAACAAGCGCCACGACCGTATTCCAGCAAACCGTCACAAGTGCTTGCATTTCGGGACGATGCACCTACCTCTGCTCCGTACACTAGTCACGGTGCTAAAGAGAGCATGGACAAGATTTTTGCGGATATCGACCACGAGCTCGGTCTTCCTACTCCTACGGACAGCAATGTTGTGAAGCGCTTCTGGAATCGAGTACGACGAGTTTAAGCTATACAGATATATGCCAGCGATATCGAGAATGATCAATCGCAATGGCCAACACACTCCCCATGGTTACGCGACTTGCCAACGTAGACCTTCTCTCACTATGCCGTTTATTACTATCCATCTTATTAGACTCTTGTCTCACGCCGGTCCTATACTTTTTACTATTCATTTTGCGAAACGAACCTCGCGCCTAGCAGTCGTGGAGGGAAACGAATGACATGGGATTGCGACGAGCATACCCAAACTGGCGTTCATGTACATGGAAACACAATCAATCAATCATTGCGTGGAGTTACGAAGGGGTTTTTGGCGAGGTATCAAAATGTTATCGACCGTTGTAAGGCCGTTTTTTTTGTTTTGTTTACAGGGCTCGGTACGAGACACATGTCTTAGGGAATAGCAGGAATAGAAAGCAACAGTGTCGCAATTTCTGAGAAAGTCCCCCCCTACCCTTATGATAGTCTATTTTATTACTACGTCCTGTTAGACTACTACTTGGAAGTTGCCCACGTACAGCATTAGCTAGCTAGCTTTATGTTTCCAATACACTGTATCCGGACCGAGGTATTCGGGACCGTTGAACTTCACTCTTTTTTTCTCCTTCGGGTGTCCGATGGCAAAAATGAATAATTCGAGAAGTGTGATACGTACATAGTAGGCGCAGACTGCTAGTACATAATAGTATACATATGCACTATCGGGACTACTTAAGCTCAGGTAGGCTGACGTTGGGTATACATAGTAGATGGACTAGGCGTGCTTATAGGTTCATGCGGGACACGTAGATCCCTCAGCTCGGAGGGGTGGAGAGAGATGATGATCAGATGACCTGCATAGCCAATCTATCACGGCTTTCTCGCGGCCACTAGTAACACGCGAGTTCTCGTGCCGGGAGACAAGGAACTAACGTAGCGTAGTTGTTGAAACGTTAGTGTACCAGTAGGCGGGTATAGAGGACGTGCGTCAGACGTATATATTTAAGTCGTTATTAGTCAAGATAGGCGCAGGATTAGTTTAGGGTGGTGCTAGTGCAGGGTTCTATTTATTATATAGTCTGGCCTGTTTAAATAGACTAGATAATGCACTTAGGTATGGATAGATAATATTATAATCTTGAGGTAGACAGGTCGATATCGACCGCGTCCTGCAGGTACGCGTACTCATCCAGTCCTACGGATTACATTACATGTAGCGATATCATGCCGTACTCGCCGAGTCGTCTAAACTTACTTACACTGCGGTACGGATATGTGGTAGGTCAGTAGGTGGTACCAACCCATATATGTAGACGGTTGTCTAGCTTCGGCTTGGCGGCGCCATAGGTTCGTCGGCTTTGGGAGGCTGGCTGGATAGACTGGGCTGGACAGTCTGTGCTGACCGCTAGATGGAAGTGAGATGGAAGATGATATAGAAGATGGATTGATACGGAGGTAGTTTCGAGGATTCAAAAGGTACATAGGAAATATACTGCACATGGGTCAAAGGAATGAATACACGTGTAAATATTCCTTGCTGCGTGGCGTCTTGGATTATGGAAGGCAATTCATTCATTTCATTTCATTTCATTACATTACATTACATTACACAATAAATACATTAAATAACTCGATACATTGGGGATCTCTACTCTGCATACGAATGCGGAGGTGCAAGCTTGATTCGGGAAAAGCTAGGGGATGTGCATAATCGATCTGTACCTTACACGATGCAGCCAGCGATCAATCAATCAATTAATCAATTAATTAATGAAAATTGCAGCATCTGCATAGCTAGCACAGTAAGTATTGCATAAGATCGGTAAAACGCGAAAAGGGCAATAGAACACGGAGAAGAAACAAATGGAAAACAGGCATCGCGAGTAATTCCCAAGGAACAACTTGACATTGGCGTAGTCTGTAGTATCCCGAGCCCCGAGCCCCGAGCGCGGAGTCTACACCTCACCCCAAAGTCATCCTGGACCATCAGCCCAAAGTCTAACCCAATAAGGCAAATGTGGACCTTCATTCCACCGTAATAGTATTAGCGCACCCAAAATTCAATTATTATTTCATTAATATTATATATGTATAAATATACATTTTATACACCGTTTTAAAATTTAATAAAATTTAATGAAATTTATTAAAATTAATTATTAATTAATTACCAATTAATTAATGATCGATTATCGATTAATCGATAATTAATTGGTTTATTTTATTTTTAAAAAAAAAACTTTAAGTATAACAGATTACATAAGCCATGTCACGTGTTGATTAGATTACTGATTAAATAACAAACATCGCATGCCGCGCATAAAGCTATTCGCATTGCGCATCGTACATATTTAAGTACCTAAATACCTTAATATACGCAACGCAATGCAATTACGAATTAATCCCTGTTTCCTTATTATTTCGTGGATGAAATGCCTTATATTTTATAATTGAATTGAATTGAATTGAGTTGAATTGAATCTAATGTGGGACCTTAAAATTTAACCAATCAAATCTTGCGCTTAAGCTGTTGGATCCAAGGTTTAAACCTTTGCCAAATCAGGTTAGACTTTGGGCTGATGGTCCAGGATAACTTTGGGATGAGCTGCGCCCTCCCGAGCGCGCTATGCCGGGGGGAGGGGAGGCAACGTTTAGGGGGTATGGTTTGGTTCTGTCCTGTGTTGGATATACTGTATGGAGAATGCCGTAGTGAATTTCATCATTTGCGCGATGATCGAACGTCATCATATGTACAAGTGCTCTTACATATAGATAGGTACCTACCTATGCATGGATGGATTTATACACTAGAGAGTATCGAATATACTACACTACATACATATATATAGAACGCCATGGGGATATAAGGCTGTTTGTTATATAATAATACCTTACCAGCCGTGACATTGTGCCTAAATACCTATATAGATTGCTTATTATCTAACTAACCCCTATTCCTTAAACACCATATTCATGTCGTAGAGCATAGTATCGTAGAGATTTCTATTCAGGGGCATACATCTGCTTAGTCCCTTCGTTCTACCAGACAAATTAGGAGAAATCTATTCGTCTACTCTGTTCTACATCTATATTTGATTTAGGTACCTGTTAGTTGAACCCGAACAATACCTCCATCTAGCATATACGCAGGCTTGTCTATTGTCCAGCTTACGGATAGAACGGCATCGTCGAGTCGGTAGGAAACGATACACAAGTCCACTCACTACCAGTACACAATATAAGCTCACACAACACATGCCATCCCATTACTCCTAAACCCCGAGTAACGATGCCAAGTAGAGAGAGAAAAAGAAAAAGGAAATCGAATCCAAAGCTGTCTTTTCCATCGTGTTTGCTACGGGTACCAAGTATAGACGAAGCTGGCGATAACATGAATAACTCGGCTTCTCTAGCTTATACCACTACCACTACCACCACCATCACTTCTCATCTAGATCATGACTTTCCTAAACCCTGCCGGTGCGCCCCCTACTTACAAGTACATTCATTCCATTTCATTCCTTGCCTACCCCTTAAACGCATGAACAACAAGTTCTCGTCGCTCACGCATCGTCATCACTATCGTCGCCGAGAAGTTCACCTTCATCTTCATCAACAATGGCATAATCGCCTCTGCCTCGGGCAAAGCTGTCTCTCGTTGTATATCTTCGCTGGTTGCCTCCCCGTAGCCAGCTGTAGCGCCCGCCGCTGTCACTTCTACTCTTGACATTTTCTCTCACGGTGCGCCATAAGCTGCCTATTAAAAGGGGCAACGCACCAATCACCGCTACCACGGCAGAAACAGCCACCACCGGGTACTTGACCAATGGCGAATTGCTGTCGAGGCTGCTCTGCTCACCGAGCCGAATCTGCCCAAATTTGCTTTGCCAGTTCTGGTAAACCCACCAGCCAACCCCTGAGGCAACGCCGATAGGAATGACCACGGCGAAGAAGATACCAATACCAGAAATGCCACGAGCCTTCTCGAATTCCTCTTCGTGACCAGGGCAAGGGTGTGACCTGAGCACTTTGTCGGCCTCGAAACCGCCCTGACAGGTCGTCAAGGGAATTCGGCGGAAGCCGCTGGGTTCGTAGTACTCGAATTGGTCGGGGTTTTCTTTACAGACTTGCTCGGGGTCAAGAGGGCGAAGACCGTCGACAAGTTCGCAATGGCCGTGGTTGTCTAGTTCGAAGTTATAATCACTGCAGCATCATAGTTAGTACTCATAGACTAGTTCGTGCATATTTAGCTTCCGTCCCTGTACTTACCACTCAAAGTCTGATCGAGTACATTCGCAGATCTCGGTAATGTATAGGGGCTGAAGCTGGTAACTGTTGTAGCATTTTCTGTCCTTCTTTTTACGTAGGTAATAGTTCTTGTGACCGAACAGACAATGGTTCTCCTGCAAAGGATGTTCCGGCGACCATAATTCATAGTCGGACTTATCTAGATCTTTATCTTCCTTGCATGGCTCACTCGCTAAACCCGAAAAGTCAAGATTCACTGTGAGGAGCTTGCTCCCTTGGTGACCCCAGAGGAGGAAATTCCTAGACGAACCGGACCGCAGAGTAGTAATATCCGTGATGACCATGTCATCGTCCGAGAATGTATAATCTTCCCAGGTTTCACCCCGATCGAGCGAGTAAGATACCGTCTTGGTCCGGGTATTTCTTTGCGCGAGAACCATGATGGACCCTTGGTCGCCAAAAGTCCACGTCCAGCTTCCCTTCTTCACCATTTTCCAGCTTAGGCCGGCGTCCGTTGTCATGAATGTGTCCGCGTCTTTAGAATCTCCAAGGACAGGGCCAACGTTGCCGATGCCAAACATGATGCCGATAGCTGACTCTGAGGAATACGTCTTTCCATGATCCGCTCGTTCGGTGTAGCCATGAATATGGAGAGCGCACGACTCATCGCCGTTTTGACTATGGCAGCTAAAATCGTTGCCATCCATGTCTTGTTTAGGAGGCGGGAGGAATCCCCACTGGGCGCCGTCGTTGTGGCTAATTCGCGTCTGAAGCCTTTTCGGCTCCGAATCGCTATCCCTGTTCTGAACCGTATTGACTAGCACGACGCCTTCCAACCCAAGCATCTTCTCGAAATCTACATAATAGTTATTGTCGCAGTTGAC